AATATATTTTTGAAAATAATATTACAAGTTTTTTAAATCTCTTAATGAATAAAATTTAAATACAATATGTTCGGAGGGTACATACCGTTCAAATTAGAAAGTTGGAACACATAACGTGTGCCAAATTTTTTACGTACTTAAAGCGTCTGACAAGCGTTACGTACGCCTGAAGCCATTAAAGCTAATAAAAAGATTAACTCATACTAAAAATAATGTGTGAAATGTTATCTTTTACAGTTATTTATTAAGTTCATTATTCATTTTAATAATAATCGAAAAAGTGTTAGAATGTAAATATTACAAATTTTTCACCGTTATTACGTGTGTAGTTTTATAAAAATAGTTATTCAAAATTTCTACTAAATCGTTTAAAATGTTCTTGTAAAATAAAATTTTAAAAACACGGCTTTTTTAAAAAAATTTAACACTTCGAAAACTTAATCAATTTTTTTAAATTCTGTAGTTTTTCATTTACATTAAATAATTTAAGAATAGGGTAAATATTTATATACCTTCCAATTTAAACAATCGACCATCACTTAATTAATATTAAATTATTTTTAAATCTTTACAATTTGCTTGAAATTATTTTGGAATAAACAGTTCTTACAATTTGGTGTAAAAAGTTTTTTAATATATTAAATTGTTCTTAAAATATGGTAAAATATACAAAAAGTTATATTATAAAAGAATCTAAACATTCGACAAATCTCTGAACGAAAATACAGAAATCATATTTTCCAAATTACTATGACCTCATAGACTGAAAGTCAGAAACAAAAATCCGTCAAAAAAATTATGATCAAAGCGAGGTCTGAATATAAAAAACTGATCATTTTACCTAAAAATATCCAGACGTTTCAGTTTTTTTACGCCCTTTAATGGTAATTATTTTTTGGCGAAAATTTGTAAGGTATTTTTTTAATGTTAGCAAATTTTAAACTTTATTTCTCCATGAAGAATAAACTACTAAAATACATAGTATTTCACCATTAAAGGAAAAGGAAAATGTCCAACATATGCTTACTAGATTGCAAAGATGCTTATATTCAGAAGGGAAAAAAAATTTGACATTTTCTAGCATTTAGAAATGAGGCAGACACGTAACCGTTCTGTCAAAGTTTGCATTGGAATAAAAGATATTTTTTGAAATGCAAATATTTTGCGTTTAAATGCATTTACACAGCAGTCAAATCATAGATCCGATCTGACAGCTTAATTCTGCTCTTATAAGTGATTCATGTCATAGTGGTCTATATTAGCAAAGATTGATAAAAAAAAAATTTCTTTTTTTTTTTTTAATGTAAGAATTAAAAGACAAAGCAGAAGTAAGCTATGACGATTTCGTGCAGAAAGTATTGAAATGGATTGAAATAGCTGAAAATAGGTATTGTCTAGAGTTTTAGAAAGTGTTCGTGAAATACAGATTTTTATTTTTCAATGATTATGTCTAAGAATTACATCACGCTTTAATAGAATGAGAAATGGTAGGGAGTATTTTGTTTTAAAAAGATAAAGCAATCAGATCTATCTACTTACTCTTAATGTTAATTCTTAAATAATAAATAGTTGGTAAGTTATTTATTATATCATGTATTCTTGTTTGTTATTACACATTTCCTGCTTGTCATTACACATTACTATTGGTGATTCATTTTTATTTTTTAGATAATTAGATGAAAATATCAATTCAAAGAATCAATCTTACTAACTCCTAATAACATGGGTTTGGTCTGCTCCCAAAAGAAACCACTGTTAAGGTTTCACTGTACTATTTCTGTTTGGATCAGATATTTTCTAATTATTTTAATTTTAAAATGCTAACCTTTAATTTAAAATTGTAGGGGTTGAAAAATGTTGTTAACACTGGATAATTTTCGATCCCGGTCTTTTTAAGTATCTCAATTTGATGACAAATGAAAACGCTTTGCTACCTAGAAAGAACTTTGATCAGAGCTTTCCTAAACGTATTAATTTTTAATTCTAAACTTTTGCTGTAAAATTATAATGATATGATAGAAGAAACTTTGATCACAACCTTTCTAAATTAAATATCTAAATTTTCATATATAATCTTTTGCTAAAAATGTGTAGGGATTTTTAATGCTATTTTCTTAGGGTAAGTTTTAATCACAGTTTTCTAAGAATTTTACTTTTAAAATACAAACTTTCTCCAGAAAAGTGTAGAAATAAGATATGCTGTAATTTAAGAAAACTACTTGATCACAGACTTTATATGAATCTTAATTTTAAAATCTAAGCATTTGCTTTAAAATTGTTAAGTTTCAAATTGTGTTTCTGCAAGCATAAGTTTAATTATAGCCTCTCTAAGCATTTTAATTTTAAAATATAAACTTTTGCTGTAAAATTGTACGGAGTTCTTTAAGTATAAGCGTTAATTATAGCCTCTCTAAGCATTTTAATTTGAAAATATAATTTTTCTCTATGAAATTATACGGTTTAAAATTATGGTTCTTTAAGTATAAGCGTTACTAATTATAGCCTGTCTAAGCATTTTAATTTTAAAGTATTAACTTTTGCAATAAAATTGTAAGGTTTGAAATTATGGATCTTTAAGTATAAGCGTTAATTAAGCTTACATATTTATGGAGATATTGAGATTTTTATGAAGAAAAAAAAGACAATTTTTTTGTCTTATGTTTCTTAGCTATACTTTAAACATTTTATAAAATTAAACAAAAATTTTAGAGTAATTTAAAATCAATTTCAAAATTTTTGCTTTAAAATTTTGAGAAAAAAAATTTGATGAAAACTGTGTAAAATATAAGTAATTAAAGTAGTTATTTTACACTGCGCATGCACGAGAAAAATTTATCAAATCTTTTTTTTTTCTTCATAATTTTATAGTGAATAGCATTTGGCAACTAATGAAAATAAGTTTGATTTCAATATCTTCTAAATTTATTTTACATTAAACGAGAAAGAGAGTCATTCATTATCTGACAAAAATTCATTTATCATTTTAAAATTAACGTTATCAACATTCAGATTGTTTTCTTGATTCGCCATGAATCTAAAACGTTTTTTCCAGCTATCGAAATAAATGAAAATAAGTAGTCTCTGTTGTTGCAATCATACGTTGCACATGATTTAACCGTAGTGGTAATCCTTCTTCAATCACAAAATATTTCATTTTTATGTATTGCATATAATCAAAATTGTGCTATTAATTTTTAAAAATAATTGTATGATTAAAAACCTAGAGAAATGGTGCCTGTACTGTTTTGAACCCTTCACTTTTATAAAATTAATAGAAAAGTCTATTAATTATGCTTACACCAGGAAATCTTATGACGTATTCTGAAGAGAACTTTTTGTGAATCTGATTACTATCTGAGAATTGGACTATAAGAAAATTATTTTTTATAAATGACATAAAATACAGGGAATCTATTAATGGCGTTCACATGTGGTTAAAAATAGCGTTATCCTTGCATGCATTAATTCATACCAAATTTTATAATAATTACAAAAAAAGAGAGTACAGATGAATATTGAAATATATATATATANNCTTTCTATTTTGAAATAGATATTATATTTGATACTGCTTCCCTTTTTTTACTATTGATCTATAATTATTATGAAATTATAATTTATTTGTATTTTAAAATACTTTAATTAGCATTGTACTTTTAATTAAATAATAATTCTGCATTTTCATCTTTGCCTCAAAAATTGAATTGATGAAAAGCTGTAAGTAATTTTATGCCAACGACAAAAGTAAAATAGTTTGTGTAACGTGAATAATACTTCATCAGAAACCAAAATAATATTACTTCTAAAGTCCAATTAAATAAAAACTAAAAACAGTATATGATAGAAACTTGCAGAAGGTCTTCCAGCATCAGGCATGCAGATATATTTTCTAAAAAATGCAATAATTGTTATATGCATGCATTTTAATGCAACAGATGATTTATCTCTGAAAGAATTATAATTATACCATCTAAGATCTCTTCATGTCTGCAGAAAGCGTCCACTCTCGTTTTCTTACAATATTTTGTTATTATTGGAGTATAATATTATGCAAATTTCTCCAAAAGGATCCTGTATTGAGATGCATCAATGCAAATTCTGCATCAATTTAAAATAAAGTAGATAAATTAACAAGATTTGCAATTTTTAAACCAGTCAGCACACTAATATTTAACAAAAAAGAGTATTGAATAAGTATATTTTATTTAAAAATAACACATAAAATAATTTATAATTTGATATCAACTAGCAAAATTTACAAAATTTAAGATAGAATAACCATAGTTTGAGAAGTATTTATCATCCGATGTGTTTGTGAAACACTTCTGAATTGTTTTATTCTCTATTTGAGATATAAATTTAGAAATAAATTGCTGAGTACCTTAAGGTATAATAAAAACAAATCCAAATTGCCTCCACAATCGAGTTGAGTACTTTTAGAGTTGGATAGAGATACTTTTTTTTTTATATATCAAATAAGAACAACAAAGTATACTTAATTACCAAGAAGTAAAACAGCGTCTTCTTCAGAAATGTGGCTATTTATTAAATGGCCTTTTAGTTCTTTTTGTTTCAAAATATTGATAGACATATTCGCAAGAAAAAAATTAAACGTAAAATAGAAACGAGAACATAACCTATTTAGATAGTTAAACATAAAAATTTTAATTAAATTTATAATCATTTGCTTTTAAAAATAAAACGATACAAATTCCAGCTTATAGCTCGCACACAATTAAAAAATAAATAACTCACTCATCAAATCATGCTTGAGCGAAAACAACTCAAGTTTCGCTAACAAAAACTGCCACTCAAGTTCGATTAAGCACAAAGCAAGTATTTCACTCAAACATAGGTGTATTCAATTCAAGTTGAGTTAAAATTTCACTCTTTTTTTGAGTAGAATTCACTCATTTATTTTAAAAGAGTTCGAAGTTCTCGGTCGATTAATACTTTAAATTTCAGTCACTTTTAGATTTTATTTTTCCTTCAAGAATTTAGGGATTATGCTTTAGCCCTTCATTTCAAACTCACAACTTAAATGATGTAATGAAAATAACTTATATACAAATTCAAAAATCTAATAAAATGGGTGTTTTCTGATTCTATTTGTTAACTGAAACCGAGACTTTTATTTTTATTGTGATGACTACAAGGAACTACGTATACTTCATGACAACTGCATACTTTCCGTATACTTTTGAGTTACACCTTCTCCAATTTCAGTTTCTTTAATACATATCAACTATGCTTTTAGTTTTAATGATGCCAGATGGTACTGCAGCTAGTTTGTTGGAAAGAAACGTTAAGAAAAGCGTTATGATGATTTAACAATGGATCGTCTTTAAGTATTGTCATTCATGGGAAAATATCACATTTTCATTGAAAAATATTTGCGGGGAGAAAATGAAAGATGCAATCCATTTTCACGTCTCATTCTTATATTACAATCAGTCTGATGCTTTCGGTAATAATCTTCGATAAATGTTCATCAAATTTTTATGATTTTAATGATTATAAAATGTTTATTCAAGACATCTAAAAGTATTTAAATAACTGAATCTTTACGCCAGTGAGGCATGTCTCATTAATGATTCATTAAATGTTATTGATGTTACAAAAATAAGAAAACAATTTTTAATTCAAATTTGTAAATTTTAAAATCGTTTCCATTCATATATATTTTAGGTTTCAAAAAAAATATTGCCTTTTACGAAGCCTTATGCCACAGAAAATGTTTCTGACAAATATTTACCACTTCTTCAAAGCAGACGGTAAGAATTAATCTAATGTATCAATAAACTTAGTGAGAAGTAAAACATATTGCTTTGAATATTAGTATATTTTAAATAAATATTAGATAATTAGCTTAAATTTGTTTAACTAATATTTTTTGTCTCATTATAAACCGTTACATTTCATATTGAAATTGCAGGGAAAAAATGGAAGAAGGTTTCAAATTAAATTTCAAAAAAATCTAAATTCACTATATCTTAATTCACTTACACAACTTAGAGCTTTTTTCCACTAAGTTCGTCAATTTTATTTTAAAAAAGCATCACATAAAGAACGATTATCTAACTGTACTGAAAATTTTTATGAGTCACAAATCATACAATCATACTTGAAATATTTTAATAATAAAATGCAGTTATTCAGTATTTTTGTGCAGTAAATTTAATATCAATTTTTTGCTCAGCAAATGCTGAAAATTAATCATTTTTAAAGACCTGCACGTGGTAAGATTTAGACATCGATTAACTAACTCGTATTACGTGCACCCTAAGTCGTATTAAACTAGCCTTAATTAAATGAATAAGTGGACCATGTGTAATCCAAAACAATAGCTTAAATATCAAATTTTTGAGCTTCTTCAAGTATAGAAACAGTATTATAAGCTTATGAAAAATATATGGAATATAATGTTACGTACTACAAAGTTCAAGTTGTTCTAGAGCCCCTGATTTAGACTTAATTAGCCTAGTATAGTAGCCTTAAGTTGTTCAAGTTCAAAGGTCAAGATAGAAGTTCTGCTGGTTAAAACTGCATCTGTTTTTCCTTTTGGGTCGATAACCAACTTTCATCTTTTGTTTCAGATATGGGGAAAGTGGTTTCATTGAAACCTTGATGATAGAAGTTACACGATTAGGTAGATCTATCGAATCACACTACTAAACAATAATTACTAGATTATTACTTGACTAACCAGAAGCCTCGTCACTGCGATGTTTTCATTCACTTTTAATTAAATAAGAAAATGAAATCTCATCGTAAGGATATTATATCTCATTGAATTTACTGAAATAGTTTAGTTTATTTCTGATTGGTGCAGGTATAAATTGAAGTTTTTTTTGCTCTAAAAAACAGTTTAATTAAAGATTGACTTGCTAGAACAGTTAAATTTTTTTTTGAACAGAGTTCTTAATTGTTGCAGCGTTATTAAAGCCTTGTTCACGAGATGAAAAATTGAAATAGGTAAAAGTTAATCCGAAAATAGTTCTCGGCCACGTTTAATTTTAAATGTAGTACAGTTAAAATGGCTTGAAGATTGACCAGTTCAGTAATTGGAATTGATACGTTGCTTCCAAATCATACCGTTATGATTAAGGCAACCACGCTACGAATTCAGCAAAGTATTATGCCAGGCTTCCTAGTTACCAAAAAACATAACAGGATAAACTGCTCAATAATTATACGATGCATTTAATAATCTTGACTTCGGTGATCTACTGGAAATTGTATCTTACTATCAATCCACTGTGGGACTTAACCTTTGACTAGACTTAAACTTGCGATGTATTTATTTTTAGGTAAAAGGTAATGCTTTGTTTTGGCGGTTGAGTTAAACTAAAAGCTGATTTCTGCTTGGCAATTGGTTTTAGATAATATCCACTACCTCAACTACTTCACGAAACTAGCGAGTTATTCACATAAACTCAACCTCACTATCTGGCAACTTATGTTTGCAAGACCGTATGTCAAATGCCGATTTGGATTTTTGTCATTTTCTTGTGTAAACGAGCAAAAAAAGTGACATTCTTTTTTAGATGTTTAAAATATATATCTTAACCAATATTTTTCTCCATTTATTGTTGTATAATTTATCATTTAAAAGGCATGACAAGCCAATAATATCTTTACTAACTTAGTCACTCTCGTGTTTTACGTGAAATTGACAGTGATATTTATTTTAATATGCATATATATTATGTTTTAGGAGATTTATTCGAAACTAAAATACTAATCAAGCAACCAATAATACCAATCTTTATATCAATTGCATATGTTATCCTAGTAAAATGGTTGTTGCCAAGAATAATGGAAAACCGTAAGCCATTGAAGCTGAAAAGAGCCATCATCGTATATAATCTGTTGATTTGCTTATTGAGTGGATATTTAGCTTACAAAGTGAGAAAATATTTTTTTTCCTTTAACTAACATTTCTTTATAAACTTCATCTTTTCTTTTTTTCTACCAACAAGGGCACACATATATATATATATTCATNATATATATATATATAAAAACTTCTTCAAATAATTAAAATATGATTTTTAGCTGCCTTGGCAAATTTTTAAACTAAACATGAGAGGAAAATGTTACCAATAAGTACTTTGATGGGTCCATTTCAGGGATTTTTTCGATAATCAAAAATCAAGTTTCAAAAACCAAGCAAAGTGATTTGATTCACAAAACATTTAAAGGCCTTTTCTCTCTTCAATGTTTATATTCATTTAAAACAATCTTTAGATAATTGCAATTAATTGAAAGTTGATGTCCAATAATTGAAATTTGGTTTGGTTGGTGAAGGTAAGATTCTTTATAAAAGACGTGTCTTTTTTTTAAAAAAAAAGTTCTATTATTCTTTTTTCTTATTTGCAGGCAATACGTTTCACTAATAAAGCTTGGAAAAATAGATGTGATGTTAAAATAGTCCCAAAACACATTATACAAGTAATTTTTACCTTTCTACTAAGTATTTTAATGTATTACTTCTATTTAACTTAATATTGCAACTAGCTGAATTTCCCGTTCTTCGTCCGGGATGAATAAAAAAAATAATAATAATTAATCAATACTGAATAACACTGCGAAATCATGCGCAAAACCAGGGATGCCAACTTGCTCCGGGCAGCGGATAAATATTTTCGAGTGATAGTCTTTTATGATCCTTGATGTAGAAAATACGATTTACAGGATTTTTACTCGCCAATATTTTTAAATAATTCAGAGACTTATGCAATACGCCACTTAAGACTGATTATTAATGACGAAACGATAAAGGAAAAAAGTTTAATTCCTCTAATTAAATATTTTAATTTTTTATTACTTTTGCAATTACCTTAAACTTGATATGTATAATATGTTTCAAAATTTTGTCTACATCTGCAATGCGTTCGCATGAAAACATGATTTTCCTTCCCAAGAATTTGGTTGGTTGGTTGGTTCTAATGCCACTTGCCACACGGGCAAGTCTGCTTGGTGATACCGAGCAAATTTAAGGCAGAGTGTGCGATTCTTGTTTTTCAGTGGCGCCATCTATGGCCAAGAATTCGACTTCGCCACACCATACGTCACACCTGTATATAAGGCGGACCCATTCATACATCCATTAATTCATCCACAAATCGTAATTTTTGACCTGAATCAGAGAACGATCGATCTCCAATCTAGTACCCTCAGAGGTATTGATTTGTTATGGGAACGTGGAGGACTTTTGCGACTCGACAGATTTGACGTGCATCAGTCACTTTACTTCGGCCGGCGGGGTTCGAACCCACGAACTCTCGGACACTATCCCAGTCTTCCCCTAGAATTTATTTCAAAGGGACATTTTACCTTTCTACATTTACTATTACAATAAACTCTGTTATAACCTTATTAAATTTTCCTTTCTTTTGTTTAACAGAGAGGCTTGTACATAATGCAGTATTTTTGGACTGCTCAATATTTGCAGGTGTTGAATAGGGTAAGAAGTTAAATTTTATGCAATTATACATAACTGTTTACAATTTTATTATCATACATAATTTTACTATATTTCTATCGATATTTCAAGTTCTGTAGTTTTACACATTTTTTTTATTGTTCAACAAACAAGAAGTAAAGATTAAGTGTGAAAAGTCGTTGTTTATAATTTCACTAAACTTCTATGATATTCTTTTCATCGTAGGCCTTTAGGGGTGACCCTTCTTTATGAACTAGATTTTTTTTTTTTTTATCTAAATGAATATTTTTAATTGTATGCTAATTTTGTATCTTCTAATAACTATTGATTAAAATCGCATTAAAATAAGCTCGGTAATAGTTGTTTTGTAAAATATTTATAAATATTTATTTCTTGTCACACCTGAATGCAATGTTCGACAATAATTACTAGACAACGCTTACCATATTGGCTGACAAAGTTTAAAATACTTTTTTTCATTTTAGTTCAATTTCAAAAATTTCAATTATCATTATATTAATTAAGTTTATCGAAACACATTCCAAAAGCAAAACCATTAGGGGGACCGGAAAGTAATGTCGTTTCTGTGCATTTGATATTTGTGATCAAGATTCTATTTTTTATCACTAATGTATTCTTCTTCGTTCGCAGCTACCTTTCAACGCCGATTCGAAAATGAATCGAAATGGATCGGAAAAAAAAGGAATTGGTTTTTAAGACTAACGAATATTTAATGTGCCGAAACGGCATTCCTTTCGGTTCCCCTAATATAAGTAAAACAAACTCGTGATATCTGAAAGCTTTCGAAATACTAATTTGGAGACATATCCCACACGTGCCATCCAACAGTGCCTGATTTATCATAACTTATGATTCATAAGGCCTGAGAGGCCCAGGCCGAAGTCTCCTGCATTTTTTGGGGCTCCCTAAATGTTCCAAATAATTACTTTTTGTGTTTTTCTTTAAGGTCTATTAGAGCTATAAGTTGAAGAAAAATGAAATAAACAAGAGCTCAAATATATTATAATTTACTTGTGTCAAAAGTAATTTAAAAATACTTCATAATTAAACAACATGCAAATATAGTTTAAAGTAACGACCAGATTGCCCCTTACAGTTCTGGGTCTAGGCCCCCCGGGTATCTAGATCAGACCCTGGCCATCCAACTTGATTTTGCTGGTGTTTACTTGACATAAAAGAAGTAAACGATAATTATTAATTAATTAACAAATCAATACCTCTGGGGGTACTGATCCAGGAGTTTCCTTGTCTTCTGGATTGGTTCAAAATTACAAGGCTACGGCGTTGAACATTAGTAGTCGTAAACCCAAAAATTGGGTAGACTGTTCAACGGCGGTCATAAAATAAAGTAAAATTATTAATTAATGAATCCCGGCAGGCAGAAAACCACTACCTTATGCAATACTTAATTTTCTCTTCCATACGCTAAAACTCTGATGATTCATAAATGTTTTGTTAGTTAATAAAGAAACATTTAATATAATGAGCTGTTTCTTCTTTATTTTAAAATAAATAACATAATTTATAAGCGTTTTAATCAGGACCTGTAAGAGCACTTTATGATAAAATAGAAGTTCACGAATTTTTAGTGAAGGAAATGTTGATTTCATAGGACTTGGCTGCGAGTGCAGACTATTTTTTATGACTTATTCTATGATATATGTTATTATGAATGTCTTAGACTTCGACAATCACACAATTACTTAGGGATTTGTCCGAAATATTTTTAACTATCATAATTTCTTACTTAACAGAATGCACGTCTCCCCTTTATGGGATGGAAGGGTGTAATATAAAATTATCAAACAGATTGATGATTATGACTCTCAAACACAGCTAATTATCAAAGTTATCCTTCAATTCGTGTGAAGGTCATCGAGCTATCAAAAGAGGGGAGACATTCCCTCTGAAGAGGATCAAAATTGCGATCTTCCGCTCAGTATCAAGAATGTTTCAAAGACCATCGCCAATAGCCCATTGTGCAACTCCAGTTAGACGTAAATAAAGTAACTATTTACCTACCTTCAATTTGTTAGTTCGAGCGCCGTTTATACTAAAATTCCCTTTTTTAACTACGTTTCACCTCACTAAAATGTACCGAAATGCTGTACTAATGTGCTCCACTTGCACTTCATCCCTGCTTTCAGCTGTTGTTGTTGTTCATTTACGTCGCACTTGAGCTGCACAATGGGCTATTGGCGACGGTCTGGGAAACATCCCTGAGGATGATCCGAAGACATACCATCACAATTTTGATCCTCTGCAGATCGGTATCCCAACGACCTGCGCGCGAAGTCGAGCACTTTACGGTAGAACAGTTTAACGAGGACCAATACCGCACACCCTCGGTCCCTACGCAGACTGATCCAAGTGAGTCACCCACCCGCACACTGACCGCAGCCAGTGATGGTTGACTTCGGTGATCTGCTGGGAGCCGGGTTTTAACGATCAGTCCACTGCGGAACCCTGCTTTCAGCATGCATTTATAAAGAGTGTTTTATGAAAGAAAATTTGTAATTGACATTTTTTTCCTTCTTTTTTATCTATACCTGACTTTTAGTGAACGATTGAGGTCTACATTCGCTGATGCAAGTGAGAAGTATTCCCTTATAGCAAAAATCTTCATTCAATTTTCCTCATCAGTGCATTTTAAATAAATTTTGCTGATAAAAGAAATGATGGTGCACTGTTAGAGTTTTCATCCTAAAAATGCGTTAAAAAAACCGGTAACATCCAGTCCATGAAATTAACCGTATGAATTAACCGGGTTGGAACAATTCTTAATACAAAACTCGTGAGTTTCATACACATTTACAACGATCATGGTTTCTAAACCATAAAAATGAAATTTAACAGGACATTAGAGTTCGATTATAATAGGCTTTTCGTTGGGTAATAGTTCAGTTGTGGTTAGGCAGTGGTTCAGTTGAGTTTTGTCAAAAGAAAGGTAGACTGTGGCGAAATTAGTTTATCTAGTGATAAGTAATGGGAAATACCAGACTTTTTTGCGTTTAGCAACTCTGTCGTGCTGCAACCTATGTGTGGATAACACTTTCGTATCCTGATAGTCAAAAGTAACCGATTGAGAAATACATTACATTAGAAACTATTCATGTGTTGATGGAATAGGAGAAATATTGTGGGGTCAACGCTGAGGCTCGAATTCTTGTTCAGCGGGTCATGAGATTAATAAATTTGCCTTCTCGGGAATAGTATGTACCTCACTTACAAGGAACTAAATGGCTTTGTAAGGTGGGCCTAGTTGGCGAAAATAAATTTTGGTTGTTAAACCGTAATTAAATTAAAATAATCAATAAACGATTTTTCTTCCATTTGAATTCCTCCTTTTTTACGATTATTTGAGTGTTTCGGTTGAATATGGCAAAATGACACTCAAATTTTAATTTAACCATTTTTTTTCCAAGAAATTTCTAACAGTGCCTTTAAAAAGAGATTGTTGACTTACTGATAACCGATATTTTCCAGTGTATGTGAAAACTAAAATATAAACATTGATTCAACCTTCACCATCGTTGTACTTTGATTGTCGACGTTTGCTGGTTCAGTCAGGAATTATGGTATTTAAAAGTTATTTTGAGCATTAACGGGACAATTTCGTCAGTTACCAAATTCTCTCTTTTACAGTAAGTTACATAGAGCCGTGATGGCTCAGGGGATAGAACGCTCGCCTTCTAATGAGGTGAACCGGGTTCGAATCCCAGCTTTGACTGGTCGATATGAATTCCACATCCTGCTCGCTCCGACCACAGTGCTGACGTAAAATATCCTCAGTGATAGACGGATCATGGGTTAGAGTCCCTTTGCCGTCAGGCTGACCGTGGGAGGGTTTCCTCTCCATGTAACGCAAATGCGGGTTAGTTCCATCAAAAAATCCTCCACGAAGGCAAACTTCTCCCCATACTTGATCCAGGAGTTTTCTTGTCTTCTGGATTGGGTTCAAAATTACCTACGGAGTTGAACATTAGTAGTCATAAACCCAAAAATTGGGTCGGCTGTTCAACGCTGGTTATAAAATAAAAATAATAAAATAACTTACATAACAATAGTGTTATTGTTTTACATTAACTTTTCTTTTCATGTTTAACAGAAAGGCTTTCAATTATTGTGGTATATTTGGATGACTAAATATTTGGAGTTGTTGGATACAGTAAGAAAGTAAATTTTATGAAATTATACTTTACGGCTTACATATTTGCTATCATGCATAGTTTTACTATATTTCATTCAATATTTCAAATTCGTTAATTATACGTATTTTTTTATTGTTCAACAAATAAGAAGCAAAGATTAAGTTTGAAAAGTTATAATTCATAATTTTACTGTTTTTCTATGATATAACCTTTGGCAGTTAAGTATGATAATCACACATGCCTAATGTCTGATTATCATACTTAACTGCCAAATCACAAAGGGTAATCACAAAGGGCATCATGTTCTTTGAAAGTGCTGGAACGTATATAGAGAGAGATTGATTCGAAAAAAATGCAACATGTTACAAGAAGATTGCATAATTGCGTTTACATTACACTACTATACCTATTAGTGTTGCCAAATCGAAATATGGGGAAGAGTGTGGCATATGCAAAAACAAGGCAAATGCATGTCTTCATTGAGATTAAATAAAAGCGAAGAGAGTCAAACGGGACATTGATGCGTTTTGAGTTGCTTACAAAGGCGGTCATGACCAAATAATAGATGAAATGTGACAATAGATTTCTTTTTGAGCTAAGCAGGCAGTTCAAAAATTTGTCTAATCCCCGATTCAATTTCAATTATATGTTGCTCCAATTTAGTTATATATATGGCTTTTTAAGTAAAATAAATCTCCAGGCAAATCTATATTTTCCGAAAAATTATACAGGGTGTCCCAAAACGTCAGCATAAACTCTGCATAGCTAGATTCCTCGTTGGGAGTACATAAAAACTGCTCAAAGAAGCTTTCCTGTACGATCCATAGTTTACGAGAAAAATACGAAAAGAAAGTATGACGTCACTGCCGGTGCAAGAAAAAACACTTTATTGAACGTATCAACAGCAGTATACTATGCCCAATTTAAAGCAGATGTTCAAGGTGTCCGTCGTGCGTGTCGAGGCAGGCTTGAGCACGCCGTGGAATGTCCAATAGAGTGTTTTTTTATCCTTGCACCGGCTGTGACGTCTTACTTTGTTTTTCGTACTTTTCTCGTAAGCTATGGACGGTACAGGAAAGCTTCTTTGGGCAATTTTTATGTACTCCCAGCGTGGAATCTAGCTGTGCAGAGTTTATTCCGTCATTTTGGGACACCCTGTATTCAGAAGTGGTGGCAGAATCAGAAGTGGTATTGAGGTACTCTTGAAAGTAGACAAGGCCAGATAAAAGGCGAAACATTGCAAAAATGAGCATTCATGTACTTCAAGGATTTGTCTTTTCCACGATTCAACTTTCATAACATGGTCTCCTGATTCAATTATTTATAAAGCCTTTAAAACAAAAAAATTTTTTTCACTCTGCACCTGACTAAATAGACATAAGGGAGAGTCGGGTAGCCCCGCCCTTGGTCAATTTCATATGTATAGAAAAAATTTTCAAGTCAATTGGCCATCGGACATTAATTGTTATATTAAAAAAAGATTATTTTCAAAGTTTCAAGTATTTATGCAGCTGGTAACATGGTAAACAATAGTTTTGAAAATATGTTGAATACAGTAGTCATGAAATTAAGAAAAATTGGTTGAATGTTTCGATTAAACTTCATTTTAATACTAAAAAAATAATTTTTTCTATACATACAGCATTAAAGTATGTAGTCTTAAGTTTAATTTGCACAAAGAAAGAAGTTTATATGTGAAAAATTGTTCGAGTAATTACAAATTTACAAAAAAATTGGATTTCGGGTAGCCCCGCTCACATGAATGTCGGGTATCACCGCCCAATTTTATTTCGTCGATAAATGTACGGTTGCAAAGATTATTATTTTATTGCTTCAAATTTGAATGTTATATGCATTTTTAACAACAAATATTGTTGTTATTAAATGATTGTTATTAAATGATAGAATTCACTAAAAGTATATAAATATGTAATAAATAAAATAATTTTGTGATAAAAATGATAAATGAGGTTTATCTATTGTCAATACATTGGTCACTTTCATTTACACCTGAAGAAACAGTCAAAAAACATAGTTTTTGTAACTGGGCGGGACTACCCGACACATTTTGAAAAGAGCTGAAAAAAGATGTTTTTTTAAATTTCTATTTTTTTAAGTTAAAATATTCTTTTTTTGGTTTAATCTTTTTGCATTATTTAATTAGATGGTAAAACAATGGAAACATACAAAAATATTGATTTTTACTCAATATTATACAATACTCCTTAAGTGGGCGGGGCTACCCGACTCTCCCCTAATCGTTTTATGTGAGTAACAGCATCTAGTTAGCTGTAAAAGTAGGTTGTTTTGATTCTGGTCAATAAATCTGAAAGTTGTGAATGTCGTTGTTTGATCCATCTTTTCAACATTCGAAGTTCAGTTCAGCTTAAGTATCATGGCTTTCGAAGAAATATAAATTCGTGAAATTATTAACGAAAATTTAATGAAATCTGATAGTGATTCAGAATGTGATGCTGCTTTTCATAAATTATGTGCTCAGAAAAAGAACAAAAAAGAACTCCCGTCCATTGGTATCTTTAGCTTGACGTTGCTGGAGCGGCTTGCGTGCTCTGACAACCCTGGGAGCTATGCCGGCGGTAGTTTAACTACCGGTAGGGTTTCCCAAGCCGGATAGGTCCTCGTAGGGTACGAGCCAGACTAAATGGGATACCACCAAGAGCTAAGTCGGTCCTCTACCTATTCCTTTAGGTGCTCTGGTCCTTGGGACTAACAGAGGCTGCGACTTTTCCCCATCCATTAATAGTACACCTTATTTCTCTAATACTGCATCGGTCGTCGCGCAGTCAAAAAAGGCCCGCGTTCCTGGTTTAGGCAGAGGGCCAGGTGCCATTTGTACCAACTGTTCTTCAGAGCAGGCTTCGCCTCACCACATCCTCGCCAAGCAGGATTTAACAGATGATCCATTGACGGTGATGGTTTTTTTGACGGTTTATAATGTCATGGACCTGGTCTAGCACTGCTGACCAATGGGGGGCGTGCAACAACAACAACAACACAAAAGAGAACTAGTATCGAGTGTAAGTGGATTTCGAAATCAAATTTATTTGTACCTAGTTGGCAAATAGATTTTTATTAAATGGTTATGTTAAAGATAAATTTTAATACCTTGCAACATTTTTTTCATTATGAAGCTCAATAATCAGTATTTATTCATAAAAATAAAATAAAAATGTAATCTCTATAGTTCGATTACTCAAAGCCCAATTGCTTCGGACAATCCCGCAGCAGTTCACACAAAAGCACGCAATTTTTCTCAGAAATCAATAATATTTTTAAAAATTGCAAAGGTGCTGAAAAGTTTGTATTAGCACTTTTAAATTTTCTGCAGTCCAGTTTTTTTAGTGTCCAAACTTGAAAACTGTCTCGAAGAATGACCATTCCTGAAATATCCTATCAGGAAATGCCATTGCATTACAGATAACAAGTTAATAGAGAGAATTGGCAATGCCTAAAGTTGTTTCCTAACTCTAACGTTATTTAAACTTCACAAATCACGAGTGAAAATTTTCTAAAAATTAAAAAAAATAAAATGAGATTAGCGTTAAGGTTAACAATAAGACAAACGCCATGCAAAACCCATGTAATAAAAAGATTTTTGTCTTCGGTTCCCGAAGTGTCTATGGTAAAATGAACGTTGCACGGTTCGTTAACTGACTTTTAAACTGGCACCCTGATTCAGTTAGGTGCCAATGTGGGCTAATGTTTAGCTTCCCTGGCTACCTACAACACGGTTTACTACGTACACAACGCTCGTTCAAAGCTGTTGAAACTTTTCAATTTATCATACCGATAGTTTTTTTCCTTCTATTCGTAAATTCTCTGCTAGACATTGTCTACGTCAAGTAGCCAAAACGTCAATCAGAATTAGACACAGATAATTCTATTCAAATTGCGTATAAACTCTACGCTTCATTTATGCACTCTTGAAGCGCGGTAGTCACTGCATATATAGCTAGAATTGTGGTCGTTATTAATCTGATGCTGCAATTGCCAGCATGGATAAACATTAATTACGCACAAATATGGTGCTCAACGCTTAGGTCGTTCAATTTCCGAAATTATCAAACAACCAGGACGACAATATTCAGAGTATAACAGGAACTTACAAATAGTAAGGGGGGGGACTAGCAATCAGACTAACTGCAAGGAACATTGGATGTGCTTGGTATATGAAGCAAACGTTCGTACAATTGTACGATGCGAGCCTTGCTGTTCGTAACCAGTAAAACCAAATCTTAGCTCGATTCTGCACCCAGTTGAATTATGCTGCTAGTCGTACAGTCATGACCATGCACTACGCTTATTTTACTATTTGAACTTCAAAACTGTTAACCGAGCTGTCATGGCACTTCTATGAATATTCTACATATATATATATATATATATATATATATATATATATATATATATATATATATATATATATATATATATATATATATATATATATATATATATATATATATATATATATATATATATATATATATATATATANTATATATATATATTCTATATATTCTATATATTTTTTGATATATATTATTATAAATTGTGAAATTCCTTTCCAGGTATTTTTATCTCTTCGTAAGAAGAATAGGCGGATCACTTTCCTTCATCTGTTTCGTCACTTTGCTATGGTTCTCGTATTTGCCCTCGTTTTTTATATGAAAACTGCAGGTAATCACATAAAATTGGAACCACGTAAAAATAATTTGTAACTGACATTTTTGTAAAATATTTTGAAAAACTTTGAAATTAATATCTTAACTGCTACACTGCAAAAAGTATAATCGTATCCCTTTACATTTATATGGATATTTTCAGAAGCATTGTCTTTTTTTAAAAAGTAGGGAAAATTGTTTGGGCAGAAAAAACCGTAATTATATTATTTCATTTGACGTTATTTACGTGTAAAACTATTCATAATTATTAAATATTTCTTAATTCAGTTCTGCGTGCAAATGAGACGTTTTAACCATACACTTATAGATAGACTGTTCACAATGGATGACATTTGGAATCCGGCAACCTCACCATGTGACTCGTCCGCCTGTTCCCCAGTATCCAATCAAAGCGCTTAAAATCAGTTCTCCAGCTTGGCGTGATTCCTGGCTACGTCGCCGTGTGAAAGAGTAGAAAGGAGCTTTCTTTTTAAAAGAGAAATATTTTGCTTTGTCTTTCTCTTCAAAAAAAAGAAGAAAAAGAGACTTGATTTTTGATTTATTTGTTTTAGTTGTAGGTTATGTTGTAAGTCAATATATTTTCATCTTTCCAACTGTTTTTTTTTATTCGTATTCGAAGGCACAATAACAATATCAAGGTTTTATAAATAGTTATATAAAACTTAGTATTTTTTGGTTCACAACAATAAAGTTTATTCAGGGATTTGAAAGATATATAACATAACTGAATCATAATGCATTTCATGACATCGAGAAAATATGTTTTTCTATCTACTATTATCGCCAAATATAGGAATAAGTAGCCAACATTGCTTACCATTCCTCCTTTTCCGCCACGTTCTGAGTGGTTAAATCAGACAGATGTTGGTTTCAAAGTGAGTGTGATTTTACAATTGCGAGAGCAGTCTACTTTTATTATTAGTCTATGGTTTTAACTCTGTATCATTTCTCAGTTCATTTTTAAATTAAACGGAGTAAGCTAACTAATAAACGTCCATGGTTGCTTTTGCAGATCATTCCGGATTGCTCCGCAATTCAAGCTTGCTTCTTTCACTCATTAGACGTTTTTATTGTTTATTTTTTTAAGGATTTGCGTGTAAACTGGTTCGTTTTATCAGAATGAAGTTCTACAATTTTTTTACAAAAAAATTTTGCTAACCCTTTAAATTATAAACTATTCTTTCAATCAATATACAATAAAAAAAACTTATCATTTTAAAAAACTTTTGATCTAATGATCGGATATGTGCGTACTAGGACTCGATCTTAATGGTGTGAGGGCGCGTGACACCAAATATGCTAATTTAGTACGAAAGATATTTTGAGTTACGAAATAAGACACTAAAATGTGCTCTTTCAGAAGAAACATGCATTTTTGTTCGATGGAATATGATTCCTGACCCTTAAAATATATTGTCGCAATCTGAGAAATATGGTCGCAATAGTTTGGTCAGGAGAGCTGCCAAAAGTTTCGACTCTTTAATCTTAAAATTACTTTTTACTTATAAATTAGTGAATTATGCGAATTAATGAATTTTTCACACTATTAGGAAATCCGTTTATCAAAAATAATTTATAAAAAATTTTCATAATTTTTTGTCATTTTATGTAATAAAGGTCTAAAAATTTTGAATCGTAGGGTACACAAATTTTTACTTCATTTTAAAGAGTGTAAAGGGCAGTTTCGGGAACGAAAATTATGCTTTCCCTGAGACAACATAGTAAAGAGCACTAATTTTTTTCTAAAAGAATTTTTTATCATATAAACTGTGCTTAAGAGCTATTTTTTTAAAAATCAGACAAAAATCCAAAATTTTAACAGTTGTTATTTTTTATTGCCTTTATTTTTTTTATGTTGAAGTTGATTTTAAAAAATTAATTCTACTCAAGTTCGAGTTTCTAAAAAAATCCCCCCCCCCCCCACTGTAGAAAATTTAACATTTCAAGTTCATTTCTTTAAAAGTGAAATAAATTTGAGCATGTAAAGGGGTTTATATAAAGAAAACAACAACACCCCCTAAGTTCCATTTTTCAACATTATTGTTATATTCTCCTTTTCATTTTTTTTAACTTTCTATATTGCGTTGTGTATCAAAAAAACTTTTCATATCAAATTTTAGCTAACACAGGAATCTATCACATGTTCAAATCTCTTAACATTCACGTTTAAATTTACTTCAAAATAATCCATTTTTCTTTATGATGTAGAAAAATAAATATTTATCAGAGTCTAAAAGAAATTATCTTAGGTTACACTCAGAATCAACCCTGTTAGGAAAATACAAAGAGAAACATGTTAATCATTATTTTAAATATGAATGAAAAGTTATTTATCAAAATGGAATAAATTAAGTAATGAAGAATAATTATATCGAAATATTACTTTATTTTCTACGTCACGCAATTGTCTACGTCAAGTAGCCAAAACGTCAATCAGAATTAGACACAGATAATTCTATTCAAATTGCGTATAAACTCTACGCTTCATTTATGCACTCTTGAAGCGCGGTAGTCACTGCATATATAGCTAGCATTGTGGTCGTTATTAATCTGATGCTGCAATTGCCAGCATGGATAAACATTAATTACGCACAAATATGGTGCTCAACGCTTAGGTCGTTCAATNGCCTGGTTTTCACTTGCCAGCAATGGCCAGTGACATAACATTATTTTATAACCATCCTTTTTACAACCGATCCTCAATTTTGGGTTTACAGCTACTGATGTTCAACTCCGCAGCCTTATGATAGAAAAAGAGTGAATAAATATTTTGTAAAAAAAAAATATTTCAGCTGCGTTAAATGATGGATTTCCAGAAGTTCTAAATTTGATTTTAAAATTGCAGCTAAATTACGCTACGAATGAAGCGATTAATGAGCGATAAAGCGTGTGCCGTTTTACATTTTATTGTTCATTTCTAACCTTACTTTATACAAATATATAACTAAGAAAACCATGTTTTTTATTAGTTTTTTTACGGCATACCTCCATAGTACTGTTCCAAAATTATATCTTTTAATTATAGTTAGAGTTCTATAAAATTCATTTTTATGTAAAGGGGAGGAAAGTAATTTCTAATGTAACATTTATATGCAAAGTTGGTGATTTTTTTCTTGAAAATGTTATAGTTAATTTTTCTGAGCAACGATGCTGTTTTGAGATAGACTAAAAAAAAATTTAAAAAAAAAATTTAGATTTCGCATCTTTTGAAAGTTTGAATGGCTACATCTACTGAAAGCATAAAGTACCCAAGAAAGTGCTGAGTTACAGAGCTTGTCCTAATAGTGAACTTTAATATTTGGTTAAAAAAATAATTGGGATGTTTTTGTTTAACAAAGATAGATTTTTAGGGTAGAGAAATTGGATTTTTCACTAACTTTGACATAGCACAACTCTGAAAAGCAACACTGCTTCACGGAAACGAGTGCATTCCAATAAATAGGCAGCAATATACTGATAATATAGCAAGACAAAATTCTGGAGTGTTGTTGCTTTCCTCTTAAAACATATTTACATTTTATTTTTAAAGAAATGACCGAACTTTGAAGAAAAGGTTTTCTTCAAACGAAGAAAATGTTTTCAGGAACGTCTTCAGGAAAGAGGGAAAATGTTTTCAGGAACTCAAACTTGCACAATAATCCTTTTTCCTAACCTATTTCAATGTATATATTTAAAAAATCAAGCGAATAAAAAAATACAACTATCACATACTGTCTGAATTTCAAAATAATGACTCTTAATTCAATAACATTTGAAATGGCTCATTCAATATTTGATGTTTTTCAGCTTTCTATTACATCTTTGCTTTTGCAATAAATTTGAGCACTCATATGATATTGTATTTATATTATGGTCTAGCAGCTATTGGACTACGCGTGAAGAAATATTTGAGGTGGAAAAAGTATTTAACACTGCTGCAAATAGTAAGCATTTTCATTGTTAGTATTTTAGTCTTTATTTGTTTTAGTTTCAATCTTTTAAAGACATCTTTAAGCTTTGGTCAGGACAAGTATTTGAAAATCGAGCAATATTATTTCTTTAATTCGCCAGTAGATGGCAGTTGCATCTATAGCCAACTCGCCGCTAGATGGCAGCTCTACAAGTACCGTCACTGACTTGCGGATAGAGAGAGGACGATTGCTAGCTGGGAAGAAAAAGTGCTCTCAGAATGTAGAGAATATTTTTCAATTAGATTTTACTTTTTTATGGTATTTCAGAATAATTTTTTAAATACTTTTAAATTATGCAGTTTATTTTGAATATTAATATTTACGGTTAGTTGATTATTTACTTTTTATCTGAAAGCTCAGTTACACCAACAAAGTTTTACAATCAGTAGTTTTAGTTAAAAAGTATACATTTGTCTGTTTTTCAATTTTTGATAAATATCTTAGTTTTCGTTCAATTTACATTAAAAGAATTATCCGAATCGTTTTTTATTCGTTGTTTTGTTGTTGTTGTTTATAATGTGAAACCAAGCGAATTTAAGGCAGATGATGCGTTTCGTACTTCTTAGTGGCGCTATCTATAGCCCAGAATACGACTTCAGCCACGCACACGTGTCAGCTCGCTTATAGGGCAGATTCATTTCTTCATTCATATATCGCCATTTTGACCTGAACCAGAGAACGATTAATCTCCAATTCTGTATTCCCAGACTTGTTATGGGAGCATGGAGAACTTTGTGACTCAATGGATTTAACGTGCACCAATCACCTTTTACTACAAGGGGAATCTTCAGCAGGCGGGAATCGAACTCACGACTTCTTATACGTTAATAATTGTTAAAAAGCCTACGTGGTTATTCTTAATGTGACGCTTATCGTCACTCAAAATTGAAATCACGAGAAAGGGCTAAAATTAGATTTCTAGAACATCTCAAAGTCTAGGATTGAATAAAACTACCGTGGGAAATCTCTATCGGCAAATAGTAACTTAAATACGGATAAAGTAATTCAAATAAACAATTAGGTTAAAATCTTACAATGTCACCCCCTTCGTGGGATTAACCCCATCGTGGAACTAACTCGAAAACACCATTAACTTTTGGACTTGACCTTCCCACAAATTTGTAACTTTTTGTCACGCAAAAGATAATGATATAGAAGTAGTCGAAGGAAAGGGTTAGGGTAGCAATTAAAGTGAGTCTACTCTAGGCAGATACCGCTGTCCACCACCTATTCTAAAATAATTTAAGTGCTAATGTTATAATGCTAAATTGGTTTAAATGTCAATAAAATATTATTTGCTTAAGTTAAAGGCGAGTAAATTTCCTTTATTTAACTTACACATTACTTATTACAAAAACTACATGATACGACCTAAAAGCGCCACATTAAGAACTTTTTTTTAAAAGTTACTGGAGAAACTACATTGAATCATAATCTGATGTGTTTCACTGTGAAATCTGTGGTGTAATATCACTCTATATTAGATGTTAAACATGTCAAACAATTTTGTGGGGAAACTATTTGAAGTTAACACCAAATCGAATGTTCAGGTGTACCCTAAATCTTTCTGAATCGTGATCACATGACGTGATTCTCCCATTACGGCCCACGGTATCTAAGGGACCAGACTTTACGACACCAGATACCCATGATCACACCGACGTAGTTTCAATTTGGAACGTTTTATTTCAATTTTTAAACTACAAAAGTTGGCAATTGAAGTCCGTTATAATTTCGAATTATAGGGAGTACATAGGGTCGACTCACATAGGGTTAACCTTCTATATGCGTTTTTGGTGTCAAGTTTCTTTTTGTTTATTTATGTTTTCATTTCATCTGTGATATTTAACACGTTCACGCCGGGAAAAGTGAAAATACTGGTACGGGAATAGAAAAAATACTGGTAGAAGAACTATTTCAATATTAGATAATATTCGGAAGGAGTTATTCCATTCTCAACAATAACAATTCACTGTAAGGAAATTTATCATGGCGAAGAAGCAATTCATTATAAAAATTGCATCCGTTAAAAATAATTGGTAGTTATGGATTTTTATTATTCCCGGAAAAAAACTAAAAAAAGAAATTTATTTGTTACCAGTTTTTACTCCGATGCGCTGCCAAGATGAGACAATCTAGCGTGACCCACCGGTGGGTCACCCCGGCATGAACGTGTTAAACATGTCATTAGATTGCTCCGAGTCTTTCATTCACTTTTATTCCTTAATTTCTGAAAATAACGTTCCCATGTATGCTTTGACTTCTTGCTGTTTGAAGCACTTAGATTTTTAATATGCCATACTCATTTAATATTGTTTCCGTTACTAGATGCAATTCATCATTATCCTAACATATGGTGCTTATGGATTTGCAACTGGCTGTGAGCGGCCTGAAAAAGCAGAATTAGGTCTTTTCATTTGTATATTTATAATTTTAGTCATGTTTATTAATTACAGTAAGAAATCTCATAGCACAATAAGCTTCTTGAAACAAAAAACTTGACTGATTTTATGTGTAGGAAACTTAGTATTTGGATTCTATTTATTGTTTCAAATAAAATTTGAATTCGACATTTTTGACTCAATATTGTCTAGCGTCTTTTTTAAAAACGCGTTATTTTTTTACTTAGATCAAATGTTTCATTATTAGGATTTATTTTCAAAAACAAGTTAGCTTTATCTATCAAAATTCATTAATAATATATAAATAATGTAAAAAAAATATGCTTAGATCTAAAGTCAGAGGAGAGTGTTTTGTTAAAACTAAAGATGAGAGTTTTTTAGGCTTAGTTTAAAGAAAAAAGTAAAGCAAGAATCGTTAAGTTTAATAGTTTGTACCTTTTATACGTATTGCTATTATTCCTGCTATTTCTATATCAGGCTTATATATATCATTGTTCTTTAACCATTTAAACGCCAGTGTTCCATTTTTGAAGTGTGTGATCCATTTTTTCAAGTGTTCCATTTTTGAGATGTTTTGAGATGAGAGGCGAACTCTCTAGCCACAACGACTCGAACAGCTGGGATATTGTTGCTTTCAGTTGGGGACGTGCTGCCAAGCGTCTCTCTAGAGTGTTCTACACGTGTTCAATCGGATTAAAATTAGTGGACATCGCCGACTATTCCATGCGTGTTATATCTTCACTCTCTAACAGTTCTGTGACAGCTACGGTACGATGAGGTGTAGCATTATCGTCCATGAAGATAAACTCAGAACCCACAGCACCTCTAAAAAGACGCACCTGAGGAAGGAGAACCTCCGTACAATAGTAGGAACCGGTGACTTAGCCACCTTGGAAGATGTGTAAATCAGTATAGGTACTAAGCATAATACCACCCCATACAAAAACTCCACCTCTTTTAAATCGGTCTCTTTCAATGTTGTTAGATTATTGCATGTTCCTCGCTCTCACCAGATATGTATGCGTTCAGAATCACTGGACATAAAGAATTCCCCATTACTCACCTTTCCAATGTTGTATTCCCGACAACACATTAAGCGGCGTCTTCGGTAAACTGATTTTAATAGACCACCCTTGCTCAGTCTCCTGGCCTCGGGTAAGCGCGATATTGAGAATCTAATAATTTGCTGTGTGTGCCTCATGGCTGAAAGCCCTTATATAGCAAGACGGAAAAGATGAAAAACTGGCTCCTAGATTAAATAGAAATTGATATTCACGGAATTACTGCAGCTCATTCTGATTCAGTTTACTAATACAACTACAAACAATGCTAATCACTAACTGCTTATTTGTCAATAATTAAAAATGAGAAATAATTAATTTAAACAACTTATGACTTTATCTGTTTGTTAATGTTTTTACCTGTGCGTGCTATCCCTGTTCTTTTTTTACCGCAATATTATTTAGCTACCTAGCATTAAGTTTACTAACCCAAATCATTTTAATATCAATGGCCTTTGATTCAGTTTGTAATCATATAATTTACAGAGGTGGCCTTTTTGGCCAGGTACTCCGGTGCACCAATTATTAGTTTCCGCAGTTTCCGCATGGTTGTCATGCCACTCATACTGCATAGTAACCACCATATATAAGGACTATTCACTCTTAGTATAAACTAATTCGTGACTTCCGCTTCTGCGCCTTTTGGCCAGGTACTCCGGTGCACCAAGTATTAGTTACCGTAGTAGATAAAATAGATATTGTTAAATAGTTTAAAAAAAAAGAATAAGTTAACTCCTCCCAAAAACTAGCAATACTACCAGCCTTTTCTCTTTTCCGTCTCGCTTTCACCCCTGGTGAGCCTAGAGATTTCTCCTGATGTAAGCCGTCTGTTCCTTCTAGCCTGTAGGACAATACACCGGCCTTCCACTGCCGTGGTTGTGTGAGGGCAACCTCTACTAAACCTCCTGTCAGCAGGGGTGAAAGCGAAATGGAAAAGAGGACAGGCTGGTAGTAAGACCATTTCAGATGTAGCTAGTTTTCTGGGGAGGCCACTCATCCTTTTTTTCAAACGATTCAACAATGCCAACCTTTATCTTGGTTCATTCGTTATTGTTGTAGAACTGGGCATCTGAGGCCTAAATGGCCATTAACCTTTATCTTGGAAAAGAAGCAGTTTTACATGTACGCTAAAATTATAAAAGGAATCTTGATAGTTACAGATATTTTATTTTTCTCGAAAAAAATGCTAGTATGAAATGTCTTTCGTACCAGTTTTTGCTCTTTTCAGTCATACTATATAAGGGCTTTCAGCCATGTCAGACAGGTGTTTCCGTCCTCTGAAATGTGTTCCAAAGGTGTGTGCGTTCCAGAACTCCGTAGCCACTCTCGTCACACTTCTTCCAACTTCCCAATGATTAAACGGATCTTACATGACTCAAAGATAAGATAATGACATAGCAGGCCATACAGTCTAGTACAGGGATGGCGAACCAATGACACGCGTGCCGTTTATGGCACGAGACACAATATTTTGGGCACGCCACCGATCACAATTGTTATTACACTCAGAATTGTTATTCCACAAATATTATTACACTATGAAGCATGTGCAAAAATTAAATTAAAATTCACAATAACAAACAAAATAATAAACAGTTATAATAAAAAAATTAACAATTAATGCTAAAACACAATTAATAACCATAAAAAACGAGCTAAAAATAAATAACTAGCAAAAAAAAATAACAGTCCTGCTTAAACTAAGATCTTACAACTTAATATAAGTTATTTGTCATCTAATCTGCACCAACAGAAATCACACTGATGTTACTTTAAGTTATTTGAAGACATGGCAAAATGTATTTTTTTTTCAATGTAAATAAAGAGTTGTGAGTTAATAGTATTTAGTATTATTATTTTCTCAATAATCACGAAGTCAAAATTATTTGAAGGCGCGTCTATGACCTCATTAAACAATTTTTTAGAAAAATTGGCACGTTGGTGTATAAAGGTTCGCCACCCTTGGTCTAGTATATGGACAGCACAAAAATTAATATGGAAGAAAGCAATGGCTGTACAGGTGCAAGGCCAGTCTCCTCTTCTCCCCCGCAACTTCTAGATAAGAAAAAGAATATTATTAAACTTTGCCTCGTCTCATTTTTCTGTTTCACTAAAGAAATAGGCATTCAAGGAGGCAATATGTTGAGAGAGTTTTAAAAGATTTATATCCTCTCTTAAAGTGTGATTCTTAACGTAGTATGGAGCATCTGCAATTGATCGTAATATCTTATTCTGTAAGATGTCAAATTTATTTAGCAAGTGATATGGTGTTGTGCATGGTGCTCTGGTGAAGCGTAAGTGGTTATCTGTCTTATGATTTGTACCCATAGTAGTTTCTTTAGGTGTGGTGAATGCTTGGATATTTTCCTAAGAGTGCCCTCCATGCTTTTCAAATGAAGTTTTTTATACAAGCATTTTATATAGACGTAGCTTATAGTAAAAGTAAATATAAGTTATTTACTTTTAATAAATTAAAATGGCAATTTGTAAGAAGAAATTTAAAATATTTTGTAATAATTTTATTCATTTCACACTGACGGCAATAAAGAAATCCACATCATCTTGTGAGAAAACTGAATCATACCATGTGATTTAATTGCCCAATAAGAATGCACGAATAAGTCAACTTTTACATGATGAGCAGGTGATAATACATATGTTTTTCGAAAACTCTGTCGTTTCGTCACAGGAAATAACTTTTATTAATAAATAATATGCGTATTTCATAATTGATATTCTTTCATCTTACTATTCTTGACTGTTAGACTAAGTTTAGTTAATTTTCATTTTTACCTTATCTTATTCGGTGCCTTGCATGCCTAATCTGAAAATCCTACATGAAGAAAAGCCTCAGTTTTATGAAAATGGAGAGCATTCGTAATCTAGTATTTTAATTGGAAAAATCACTCCATCATTGTATTATCTAGACTCATCAAAATATGCAAAATTTTAGATTTCTTGATTTTGTTGATTTCATTTAAGAAAAAATATCTTCTCCACGTTTTGTTCGCTCTCGCCCAGATAATTCTTTATGGCGAGATGATGTATTATACATTGTATACATACATATAACCGTATACATTGTATACGGTTAACCCTTTCCGGGGTAGTGTAGCCAGTGGTTACACTGGCTCAGCCGCTAATTTACAGTTTAGTTGTCTTTGACGAGTCGCTCTTTNTTTTTTGGGGGGGGGGGGAGATTTTCCTGTGAGCTATAAGGATCGCAATTATAAGGTAAGCTTCTTTTTCTTTTAAAATTTGTAACCTGAACTGGAAAGAAATCAAGAATCAAGTTCCTTTTTGAAGAAAATTTCAAACATCAGAGCGGGTTGCTAAAGGCATCTGGATTGGAAAATCGTGCCCCAGTCTCTCTGACAACAGTAATTTTACAAATGTTACAAACCACTAGAAATGTAAAACTAATTGCTTTTAAACGTTTATCACCTCCAATTTCTAGACAATATTGTCGAAGGTTGCAGTAGCTAATTCGTTGCTTGACTAAAATCTTCACTTGAAATTTGCTGTTCCGAAAAAGGGTTAAAAATTGTAGCTTTTATCTGCCTCAAGTGTGAAACAATATGTGTGTATTTAAACTAAATGTTTTTTTTGTTTTTAATTTCTCTATTCAAAAGAGCTTTAAGAAACACTTAGCAAATGTCTGTTTAATTACAAGAAATTGGGTCTTAATCCAAAATAATAAGAAAGGATTTCCCGTCAGCCTCTCCTCGCCAGATAGTTCCATATTTTTTACATGTGTGTATTATTATTAATCATTATATTTCAAGTGTTACTCCACGCTATGAGTGTGAAAACATTGCCATAAATCCACTCGGAAGTCGGGCCGTTGAGTTGCCGCGTGATGTAGGCGGTCTTTACGCAATGAGAAGCATATCAGGAAACCCCACCTTTATGAAGAAATTTCATTGTTAATACAGTTCAAAAATTCATTTCTTTAAAAAAGTGGTAGATAAAGAAAAATAATTTATTTTTTTAGCATGTAGCCGTTTAATAGACAATTTTTTATAGACATTTAGTAGACAATATTTGTAACCATTTAAGGAATTTTTTAGTGTGGTAGGCAAGTGATTTAACAAGATAGATTATATTCTTATCTGTCCCTT